CACCGGTGATGGTGAATCTCGCGGGCCAGGTTGGAATCAGTTTTGTTGGCAGACTTGAGGACAACCTGCACAGAGTCAGCAAGCAGCCAGAAGAGGCCGAGGTTTCGTAAAGGGCGTGGTTGAGAAACGGACCTTGGAGTTGTTGATAAGCTTGTGGCTGGCAAGGTAGACCTTGCCGAAGGAGCCCTTGCCGATGAGGCGGCCCAGGGTGTAGTTGCCAACGGACTTTAGGTCTTTGTTCGCGAATTCACTACACCGCGTTAGAATACCTAGACTGAAAGCCAGGGACACTATGGGCTGCGCGCGGGGGGACCTACTCGAGAAGCTCTTGGTAGGAATTGGCTAGCTGTGCACTTGGTCAGCAAGGTCATGGCAGGCGGCGATGCGGGCTGGGTATGCGCGCGGCGGGGAGGGCAGTTCCAAAAAAAATCAACGGTACGGACCTTGGCCTTGCGACCCAGCAGGTCGGCCTTGCCTCGTGCCGTCTGCATGCCGCCGCGAGCACAGGACGGAGGGTCCGGATGGAGGAGGCCAGGTTAGGCGTGCGTGGGACCGAAAACGGCGTGGTGGAGATGGCGATCGCAAAGAGTCAAGCACGGTCGGTGAGCCAGCGAAGGCGATTTCGGGTCGCGGCAGTTCATCGAGGGGCTCGTCGGACAGAGGAGGCGGGTTGCGGCGCGCAAGAATTGAGAAGTCGACGTTGCAGAAGGTCTGGCGAGGATAGGGAATCGGGGAAGACACGACTTGGCTGGTCTGGGGGCAGGGCGGTGTGTGGTCGCGAAAGTCGATGGCCGATCTTTGGAGATTTGGTCTCGCGTGCCTGAGGCGAGGCCAGGCGAACGAGCTCTCGGTGCAACTGTCGTTCAATTGCCAGTTGGAACCAACTTCCAGGGCTAACGACGGTACGCTGGCACGGTGGCACGGGGGCACGGGGAGGTGTGCGCGTGGTGGGTCTAGAAAACGGGGCGTGGGATGATGTGGGGACGCTGGTCGTGACTGTGCAAGCTGTGGAAATTGAATGAAGCGGGGGGGGGGATGGAAGGATGGATGTACGCTGAACCACTTTGTAGACTTGGCACTGATAGATGGTCTGATCGTTTGTTCGGCGACATGCATGTCCCCTCATGTTGTAGCAAGTCCCTGCAACATGATGCAACTCTTGGGTCACAACTTCACGACACATACAACACCTTCTCGATCCCTCGTTGTTGCATCCCCTGTCAAGAGGCTCGCTCAACAGCTGCACCAAGAGAGTCTAGATCCAGGCACTCTTTTGGTGGAGATCTCAATATGCCAAGGCGTCATCACATGACAACCGAGTGATCTCATTGTACGGCCTGCGGGTCGTCACCAACACGCTCAAACCTTCGTTAGCACTCCCACGCCGGAACGTTGAGTTTGCTACGGCCCACTTCGATTCTGATTCGCAAGATGGACATTTAGAGTAACCAGGGGCCACCCAATGGGCGCTCAATGGCTCACGTGCGTGAGGTTCCAACTATTTGTCCGTCATCAATTGTTTGAGGTCGATCCAAGTCGAAAGCCGTCGTGCGTTTCCAAAGTTTCCAGAAGCCATCCCTCAAGCCATGTGTGCGAATGCCTCCAGACTGAGCCCAGACATTGGCATGCGATTCTTGTGACGGTGTGAGCCTGAGTGAGTGACGTCTCAGAGATGCAATTTCAAGTCGTAGGGTCGCACCACAGCGGGAAGGGCGCGGGGGGAGAGAAAGAAAGAGCCCGCGCGTTGCAGCATCAGGAAGCGGGATGACCTCATCGAGCTTATGTAATGCGCTCTTGCTAGGCGGGAGCTCAACCACAACGCACAACGAGCTCCAGATCTCCTCCTGCGCAGTGCTTCCCAGAAGAAGCATCTTTTCGCCAACTTCGAGCTTCAATCGCGTTTCCCCCAAGTCATGCTGCTCACCCGACTTCTCGGCGTTGCCGCCCTCGCTCGGTGTGCTGCCAGTTCCAGCGATGCTCAGCTGCCCTTGGGTCACGCGGTCACAGCGCCGAGCTCGAATTACCCGGTAGAAGAAACCGACAGCGATGCGCCTGCTTGGCGCAACTCGTTCCTCGACCTGCACCGTTCCATTGTCGAGATTTCCTCCATTTCCGGCACCGAAGCCGATGTCGGTCAATTCCTATTTGACTATCTCCTACAAAAGGGCTACTCGGTCGAGAAGCAGAAGGTCCAGTCGAGGAAGAACACGGATAAGTCCAAGGGTCGTTTCAACGTGCTGGCATGGAGAGGCGACTCACGAACGCTGCAATCCAAAGTCCTCGTGACATCGCACATTGATGTCGTGCCGCCGCATATCCCCTACGGCATCGAGGACGGCAAAGTGACCAAGGGCACGAAGATCTGGGGTCGCGGCAGCGTCGACGCCAAGGCCAGCGTCGTTGCCCAGATCCAGGCCCTTGAGAATCTGCTCAAGGAGGGCAAGGTCGAGGAAGACGATGTCTCATTGCTTTTCGTCGTCGGCGAGGAAGACCAGGGCGATGGTATGCACACGTTCTCCGAATCTCTCCTGGAGCGGACCCCCCTCAAAGCTTCGATGCCGTCATCTTCGGAGAGCCCACGGAGAACAAGTTGGCGTGCGGCCACAAAGGCGGCGTCTTCGGCAACATCACGGCAAAGGGCGTTGCTGGCCATTCGGGGTACCCCTGGCTCGGAAAATCTGCCAACAATCTCATGATCCGGGCTTTGGCCAAGGTTCTGGAGACTGACCTCGGTAGCGACGAGACGTTTGGAAACACAACGGTCAACATTGGCCGATTTGACGGCGGTGTCGCGGCCAACGTCATCCCCGACCATGCATTCGTCGGTATTGCTGTCCGCGTAGCCATTGGTCCACAGAAGACTGGCGGAGACATTGTTCAGGCTCGTATCCAGGCCATCCTGGATGAGGTCGATGAGGATGCTTTTACTATGACCATCTCGCACAACTACGGCGTTGTGGAAGCCAACTGTGAAGTGGACGGTGCGTTTTATCCATTGGAAATAACCTGCATGAGACTGACAGCAGCAGGTTTCGACACGGCCGTTATGAACTACGGGACGGACATTCCTAACCTCAAGGGCAACCACACGCGGTACTTGTACGGGCCGGGAAGTATCCTGGTCGCTCACGGCGACAATGAGAGCCTGACAGTTGGTGACCTGGAGACGGCTGTGGACGGATTTGAAAAGCTCATCCTCCACACTTTGAAAGAGTCGTCTTGATTGAATTGAAAAGAAAAAGCGCCTCCCCCTGCCGCTGATGATGATTTTCGTAACCGCTCATTTGCCCTTCCTTTACTGCTGTCCAACCAAGCGAGCCCACCTCTCGGGCATGACGTGGCTGAAGTCAAACTCTCCATTGGTCCCCTTTACAACGGCACCCTTCTCTGTGACGACGGCATCGATCAAGTCATGCGGCGTCACGTCGAACGCCGGGTTCCAGACGTCGATCCGCTGGTCAGCCGTGGCCACGCGCACAGTCTTGGCGACATCAACACTTCCATCTGATCCAACAGTGGCGCCAGAAATCTGGGTCAGCTCCTCCCTTTTCCTCTCCTCAATGTGGATGCCCTCGCCCGTCATGGTCTCGAGGTCAATGCTCGTCGTGGGGGCTGCGACGATGAACTTAATGCCGTGATGCTTCGCCAAGACGGCGAGCTGGTAGGTTCCAATCTTATTCGCCGTGTCGCCGTTTCTCACGACACGGTCGGCGCCGACAATAACGGCAGAAATGTTCATGGTCTCCTTTTGCAGGGCGAAGAGAGCGGCGGCCATAGAGTCCGTGATCAAGGTGCTCGGAATCTTCTCAAAGACCAGCTCGAAAGCCGTCAGACGGCTGCCTTGGTTGTACGGCCTCGTTTCCGTGCAATAGGCGTGGTTGAGCCAACCCCTCGACTGGAGCGTCCTAATAATGCCGAGCGCCGTACCATGGCCAGATGTGGCGAGCGAGCCGGTGTTGCAGTGTGTCAGAACGGAAATCTTGCCGTCAGGACCAGCCTGCGCCACGTCTTTCAGCCAGTCGGCGCCGTGATCGCCAATGGACAGATTGGTCTTGAGGTCCTTCTCCAAAATGTTCTCCGCCTCCTCAATGTATGCCTTGATAATGGCATCGCGGTCCTGTCCCGCAAGCTCTTGCGTCCTCGCCTTGAGTTGGTTGATGGCGTTGGTCAGATCAACGGCTGTTGGCCTGCTCTCCTTGAGGTAATCCAGACGGCCGTGGATGTAAGAAATGACTTCCTCGGATGAAGTGGCCCGGCAGCTGCCATTGTGCAGCTCCACGGCATGGGCTAGACTGGCAACGATGGCGATGGCTGGCGCACCACGGACCCTCATAGACCTGATGCAGTCGAAGGCCTCCTCACTCGTGGAGACATTGTCGTAGTGAAACTCGTGAGGGAGGCGAAGCTGGTCCAACACCTCGAGGTTTCCCCGGCTATATTTGACAGCTTGAAGGGTCGACATGGTTCTTGGTTTTGGGTGTCAAGCTGACTGATGGTCAAGACGCGATGATGAGTCGGGGGCGTCTAGAATGAGATGAACGAGACTTTGCCGATGCCTGACCCAGACTAACTGTCGCAATTGTTTGCCCCTCCATGAAAAAGTTCTGCCGTGCCCCTCTACAAGCTACGACATCATCGGCCAATCGATTCGGCAGGTGGTGGCTCACCGCCCATGACAAAGTCTTGGGCCGTTAAGCTGCCACAGTCAGGGGCGCCTGGCCCCTGTCCCCTTGTGCACGGACCTACTTTCCCCGTGTTGCCTCAGCGAGCAAGTGATAGCCTAGCTTCAACATTGCCTCCAGTGCTCAAGACAAGCTCCAACATCACGACTGTGCGCGCATGGTACTGCTTGGCTTGTATGACTTGATGCGAACATGATGATACGATCAACATAATGGAACACCCCTTCTCGACATCCAAAGTCACCGGTATGGCCCCAAAATCTAGCTGTCACCAAGTAGAACCACGTCGTTGATCTGACCGCCCGTTCTGTAGTCGAGTACTTCGATCCCCATGGCGTCTACAAACTCCTAGGCCCTGGCCTCGTGCCCCGACTTCCTCTCCGAAACCTCCACTGGCAATCGCATGCCGGACCTCTTCGATCAATTGATGTGTTGTTCGTCGAGCTCGTCGACACTGGTGCCGACCCAGCTGCCGCTGCGCCTCGTGCCACCCTAAGACGTTCGGTCAGCGCAGGCGTTCAAGACGATGGCTTCCAGACCCAGCAGGTCGGCGGCAAGAGTGCATCGACCGACAACATCGAGCCACCGGCGGCGGCGGCGCAGCAACCTGGGAAAGAGCGGCGGCACCAGATTCCCGGTCTGCGACGAACCCCCTATCTCAAGGTCCTGCTAGTGCGATGCGACGACAACGACACGTACAAGGCCACGACGCGCGCCGAGATTCGCGACTGGATCAAGCTACACACGCCACCTTCCCAGAGTACAAGAAAGGCGAACAACCAGGAAAACCACGATGCCTTTGAGTGGCTCATTGTGCATGTGGTCGTCCCCAACACCGTCGCCGCGACCCAGCCCAGAACGAGCGGCAAAAGCGCCGAGGGCGCCAGCAGCGACAAGACCGCCTCTTCGAGATGGCGGACGGGGTCTTCTACGTTGCTGGAGAAGATGCGCGCCGACTTCAACGTCACTGGCAAGGGTGCCGTGGATAGGATTGCCCAGATCAGGATCGGCATCAATGACGTGCCGTACGATATCCTGCCTCGCGTCGTACCAGCCACCCCAACCGGATACTCGGAGACTGAGAAAGACGCAGAGGTTGCCTGGCAGGAGTTGCTGGCGAAGATCAAGGGCTTGATCCTGGCGTCGTTCGACATGCGCGTTACACAGTACGAAGATGACATTCGTGAAAAAGATGCGCAACGTCTGTTACCAGGTTGGAACTTTTGCACGTTTTTCATCCTCAAGGAAGGCTTGGCGCGAGGCTTCGAGAGCGTCGGGCTTATCGAGGATGCGCTCGTTGGCTATGACGAGCTCAGTGTTGGCCTTGACTCGGTTATACACGAACAGGTCGCCACGGGAGACTCGGAGCGAAACGGCGGTGCGCTTCTGGGGTATACTGCCGAGTTGAAAAAGCAGGCTGAACAGGCTGTTGCGGCAGCGACCGGCGGCGGGAATCTCGAAGACGAAGAATCCGTTGACCTGCAGTCCAAGGAGCTTCCTGCTTTCAGCCACTTTGACGAGATCCCCATCAGCTCCACAAAGAAGCTTTACCGCGACATGATTGTAGCCAACAACGTCTCGGTGTTCGACTTTCGTTGCTACATATTCGGCCGCCAGCTGGCCCTGTTGTTGCGCTCGGGCAACGCATGGTCCTCCAAAGAGGAACTCCTGGTGAAGCTCAAGGAACAGCAAGAATCAGTGTTGCATGGCGTTGCACCACAGGCGCCTGCACCAAAACAAGCAGAGGATGCAGAGAACCTCACCATGTTGGCCGAGATTTGTCGAAGGACCCTACAGTTCATCCCCGCCATATCACAGATCATGCGAGCAGACATCATGTCAGCTGTTTCACAGCCTGGTGGCGACTCAGCTGATCACTCAGTAAGCCCTGTGGTAACAGAGGTCATTGACAATCTTGTCGCATCCTTCGCATTCTCGGTTGCTCAGCAAATCCTGGCGCAGACGTCAACCAAGTCCCTCCCCATTCCGCCATCCCTTATGATCACTCCCGAAATTCATGAGCCCAAGGTTTCCATCCCCGAGCCCAAGACCATGATGCACCCCGCCCGAACAACGTCTTTAAGTGTGCGAACCACTACGGCAGCTCCCCACAGCCCAGGAATATTCCCTGGTCCGGGAGCCGGCCAAAGAGCCAGTGTTCCCGAGGGCATGTCTGTCGCGCCGACTAGCCAGTTTCTCAAGAATGGCCTCGAAGACCTCGCTGCCAGGCGTGCCGAGCTCTATAATCTCTCTCGTAATGTGCTGGAAGAGTGCGGCAAGAAGCGCGGCTGGGGTGATGGCTGGGCTTCTGTGCCCGACGTCGAAGACTCTGGCTATGAGACGATGGAGGACGTTAGTCTTGACGACAATGAACCCCTGGCGAAGAAGGCAGAGGCCGAGGTCCCTCAGCAGCCTCTGCTGTCTGGTATTGAGGGCCGCCTTCTTCAGGCAGCGCTCGATAACCAAGACGACTTCTACCGTCTCTACGAGACCCTAACGGACAAGGCCTTAAGGCATTACACCGTTGCCGACCATAATTATGCCGTTCAAGCCAGCATGACTGATCTTGCGATTCTTAAATACCACCTCGGAGACTACTCAGCGGCGGCTTCTTACTTCTATCGAGTGACGCCGTTCTACGGGGAAACTGGCTGGAGTGTGTTGGAGCTGTCCATGCTCATCATGTACGCGCACTGTCTACATGAGCTACAACGCAAGGACGAATACGTTCGTGTGGTACTGAAGCTGCTGACAAAAGCTGCTGCCGCTGAGAAAGACCGCCTTGCGCGCCGAAAGGGGTTCCGACCTGGCGCCGGACAAGACGTGGAGCATGCCTCTTTCGCTGTCATTCGGGGTTTTGTCGGCAAACTACTGGCTGTGACCAAGACATTTTCCAACGAGGTTCCTGTCCCTCTGGGACAGATGTTCACTAATCCTCAGTTAGACGAGTCCCCCGAGTATGACGTCGGGCTCGACAGCTTCTCTTTGACGATCAAATTGAGTAGCTTACTGGTGGATGACTTAACGATCGAGACTGCGCGCATGCGTCTTACAAGTTCTGACCCCGGTGTTCCAAAAGAGTTGTGGTTGGAGAGCACAACTCCTCAAGTGCTCAAGCCAGGCGAGAGCGCCATTCGCCTGCAAAGCAAGGTACGTGTTTATCCTCTCTCGACCTCGCATAATGGCTAACCATGGCTTCAAGACAAGCGTGTCCGGACGTTATGACGTTGATCGCCTGAGTCTGACCTCCAGTAATATTCATCTCCACTACGAACGCGACATTGATCACGACTCCTCGAAAGGAGCTGAGGCCTTCCTTCTTCCGAAGGTCACAGTGTGTCGCCAAGAAGGCGGTTTGGACTGCCAACTTACTGCAGCGCGCCACACACAGCTAGACCGTAACAACTGTCTCGATCTGAAGCTTCGTACTGGTTGGAATAACGTCACGTCTTGCGAGATACGAGTGAGGCCCAGCACTGGTGGACTTCGTCTTTTGTCTACAGAGGCCAAATTCATCGGACCTTCATTCGAATTCGCAAGTGCGCTCGAGCCAGGATTGTTCCGATTCAGTGCGCTCGATCCCAATACAAGTGTGCAGCTTCGATTTCCATTTTCCACTGAGCAGGACGTTGCCAATATCTCTGTCAAAGTCGACGTCATCTATTCAGCTGAGAAGGGTACATACACCTTCTCTGCGATACCCACTATTCCCATCTCGTTGGCCCTCGGCGTCAACGTCCAAGATGTCTTCAAACACAATGCAGTCTTCTCTCGGTTCAGCGTCTCCACTGCGTCACCGAGCCCGATCACCGTGTACAAGAGCGAACTGCAGCAATCCGACATATTCGAATCACATTTTGGAGTCGCACCCAGCAAGCCCGTGGTCGTCTTCCCCAAGCAGCCAGCAAGCCTTCTCTACAAAATTACACGCAAAAAGGATGTTGCGGTACAGCCAAAGACGAAAAAGACATTATATCTGAAGGTCTTTTACAGCGTCGTGCTTGAACAGATCGTTGCAACAGTCAGCAGGCTCGTGAAGCAAGACATTCTTAAATCTGACCTTGCGCGCTATGCGACGCTGGTGGAGGCACAACTTCAGAAGCAGGTGCCCGGTGCGCTTTCGCTGTTTGACCTCGAGCGCGCAGGACTGCTTGGCGAAATCTCTACCTCGTTCCTGACAAAGCCGGCTGTAGATGATTCGTTCAGGGGCTTGGGAAAGCTACCGGGCAGCGACAAGGATGCAGCGAGAGCGATCGCCAGCTTTATCCAGGACTGGCAGCAGAAGAACCCAAAGCTCGCTCTGAAGTCATCCGAGACTATCGAAGACGCTCAGTCGATCCTTATTCCCGTCGATGTTCCGTCCATCCCAATTCTCTTCACAATCGACATCCAGCTTGACAAATCGCTCCCGTCGCCAGTCCCTCGCAAAGACGCGGGCACCCCCATCACGGGCATCAACCAGCTTCTGTCAGCCAACCTGACGCTCAAGTGGACACGCAGATGGGATACTTCGCCAGGCGTCACGGACAGTTCTACGACGCCGCAAGAGTTCACATACGATGTCACGGCGCCACCCGACACGTGGCTGCTCGGCGGTCGCAAGCGGGGCCGCGTCAAGGTCCCAGCACTCGGCACTGATAGCTCTACGCCGGATCAATCGGTCGTAAACATCCCGTTGATCATGGTGCCCCTCCGCGAGGGCTGGCTGCCGTATCCGAGCGTTGACATGAGGGAGGCCAAAGCGGAGGAGGACGGGCTGCCGCCGACGCAGGGACACTGCGAGACGGATTATCGGAATCTGGGCGAGACGGTCAGGGTCATTGCCGATCGGGAGAAGGGTCACACTCAGCTTGGACTCCAGTGGGCCCGGCGGCGGACCACTTGACGCAGAGAGCTTGAGGGTCGGATAGTTGTCTGAAGACTGGCCATGAAATGTATCTGATAGGCCGGATTCATCTATATCAGCGGTCATGTAACCATGCTATGGCAGACAACCAAATGACCAAACGAGGTCTTCTCGCCCTTCGGCACCGTAGATCCCAGCATCCACTCTGTGAAGCCTGATATCGTTTTGTTTGCAATAGGTGACGGGTTGTCTGGCGCACTATCCGCCAGCGCCAAGACCCCACGCGGTGCGCACGCCATTTCTCGTGACTAGCCCAGATCGCCTGCGAACCCCAGACACTTTGCAAAGATCGTCCTCATGGCCGTGTCTCCCATCCACGTTGCGTCTTCAGACACTTGTTGACTCAGAGCCAAATATGCATCGCACTTCGTGGAATTGGGATCGAACCCTCGAGGTCGCCGGCCAGCGCGCCGCGGCCACGTTCAAGGTCAATTGGCATCTGGGCCTGACTGCCTTTGGTGGTCCTCCTGTGCACTTTAAGATAGTATGGCACTCGGTCTGGAGCAATGACTTCTTAGATGCTAACAGACACAGTTTCATGACAAGTTTGTCAAGCGGCTGAAATGGATTGACGAGCAAATGGTGCGCCTCTTCATCTCACCGATTGCCAATGGCTCAAACTAACTCGACATCAGTACCAGGAGCTCTTCAGCGTCTCCCAGGCGCTCTCAGGACCGGCCAGCACCAAGATGCTCTACTGTATTAATCTCTTGCAGAACGGCCTTTTCGGTGCGGTTGTCGCGTTTGTCCTCTGGAGTCTGCCGGGCGCATTGGGCATGTACGGCCTCTCCGTTGGTGTCGCCAGCATCGGTGACACTCTGCCACGCGCCGTCTACGCCCTGCTGTCTGGTCTCAACGCTGCCACGGTCGGCATAATTGCCCTGGCCGCCGTCGAGCTGTCACAAAAGGCCATCACCGACCCGCTGACGCGCATTCTCGTCTTCCTCAGCGCCTCGGCGGGCATGATGTACAACGCCCTGTGGTACTTCCCCACACTCATGGCCGCTGCTGGCTGTGCGGCCATCATCCACGACTACCGATGGTTGCACCGGCCCGTGAGGAAGGTCAAGCACACGCTGGAAGCCTGTTTCGGACGAAAGAAGGAACACGCAGGCCCTCAAGCTCAGGAGAACGGCGATGCTGGGACTGAGCTGCAGCGGCTGCCCCGGCCGTCCGGCTCTGTGAAGGAGCAGGCCGCCGTTGACGGCCGATCATCCCCTTCGCTACATTCCCGAGCTGGCCCTTCACAGACAGGCCAGGGATCTTCTTCGGAGGCAGATGCTCGGTCCACAGCAGAGTCCGAGGAACCGCGTGTCGTTGCGCAGGAATACCGCCTCAACTTCTCCTGGAAGGCGGGCACGGCTGTGATTGCAACCTTCTTCGCGACATTCCTCGTCGTCATGGTCATTCGCGGTGTGGTCGCCGAGCGGCCCATTCTCTACAATCTCTTTGCTAATCTCTACCTTGCCGGCACAATCATCTTCGGCGGCGGTCCTGTCGTCATCCCCCTACTTCGCGAATATATCGTGGCCGAGGGCTGGGTCAGTCCTCGCGACTTCCTTATCGGTCTTGCCATCGCCCAGTCGTTTCCCGGTCCCAACTTTAACTTTGCCGTCTTCCTTGGTGGTCTCACGGCGGCCAACGCCGGCCACTCGGCAGCTGTGGGGGCCCTCATCGCATTTGTCGGCATCTTCACGCCGGGCATGGTTCTCGTGCACGGAACCATGGGTGTATGGGGTGTGCTCCGGAGTCGACCCTGGGTCAAGGCGGTGGTCAGGGGGATCAATGCGGCGGCCGTCGGTCTCATCTACACCGCCGTCTATCGGATCTATCTAGTCGGATACATCGATGAGGGATTCCAGTCGGGGAGGAGCCTCGGGGATGATCCATGGTGGGTTGTTGTGACGGCAACGGCGTTTGTTGGCGGAAGATACTTTGGCGTTGCGGCGCCCTTTGCCATCCTTCTGGGTGCCATCATGGGTCTTGTGCGATACGGCGTTGTGAGCTGAGCGTATACGCAGGCGTATCACCACTTTACCTTCTGAAGCTTCAATGTGAATCAAATATGCCTCATGGCCACCCGTTCTATTTCGACCCAGACTCATCGTACCATGGCGGCTCGTGAGTCTGGGGGAATAACTGTCAAGTCTTCTTCCCCGGAGCGGGTACGTCTAACAATCGCGGGGTCAATATGCGGGGGAAGGCCGCGCTCGCATGCATCTGTCGTTGGTGATCGTCACGACCGGCCTGTTCCGGGTGGCCTATGCAGGGCCTAGCCATGACACGACTCGAACGCTATGGTTGATACAAACGTCTCGTGCACCCATTCACGAAGAGGTCGACAGCCGCCCAGCGGTAGCCTGCTACTGTGCAACGTGCATGAAGTGGCTCGGCATAGGTGCGTGACGTCGTCTATCACTCCCCAGCGAACGAACCCCTCTTTTGAAGGCGCGTTTGCTGGAAGATGAAATATCAAGTAGCGATACCATTTGCAGTTGTCTAGAAGCTTCACAACAACTGCCCATAATGGACGACGTACCGGCACCCCCGTCGCACATGCGGACTGTTCCCGGGTCGGTCAACGTTCCCGTCGCCAAGTTTCCCCACCCTGCGCCAACGACAGAGGTGAAACCAGAGCAAGTCGCTACCGACGTGGTAGATCAGTTCAACACGGCAATCGATGAGGGCAATTTTGCTGCCGTCGTTGACCTTTTCAATCACGAGGGCTTCTGGCGCGACCATCTCGCCCTCTCCTGGAGCTTCCAGACGCACAGAGGTACTTCTGGCATTCAAGAGTTCCTGAAGGACTGCGCCGGCAGTAAGGATGGATTTCGTCTAAAGAGCATCAGTCTCGATAAGACATCTGATGTGCGAAAGCCGCGAATGTCGTTCCTCGACCACGATGCCAACGTGCCGTGCCTCACCTTCTTCTTTACACTGCAGACGACTGTTGGCTCCGGCGACGGTGTTGCTCGTCTTATCCATCACGATGACAAATGGAAAGTCTTCACCTTCTACACTGTGTTACAGGAGATCAAGGGACACGAGGAGGCTGTCAATTCACGACGCGGCCAAGGTGTTGAGCACGGAGGCAAACCCGGCCGCAAGAATTGGGTAGAGAGACGGCAGGCAGAGGCTGAGCTTGAGCCGGACATTGAGCCGTCTGTCCTCATCCTTGGTGAGAGAAATAAGCATAAATAACAGAACGCAGGCCCAGTGACTAACAGACAGTAGGCGCCGGCCAAGCGGGCCTCACCATTTCGGCCCGCCTCAAGGCTTTGGGCGTCACATCGCTCATGGTCGACCAGAACGACCGCATAGGTGACAACTGGCGAAAGCGATACCATCAGCTCGTACTCCACGACCCCGTGTGGTACGACCACCTGCCCTGTATCAAGTTCCCCCCACAGTGGCCCGTCTTTACGCCCAAGGACAAGCTTGCCGAGTTCTTCGAGTCGTACGCCAGATTGCTGGAACTCGACGCTTGGATGAAGACAACCATAACGGACACACAATGGCACGAAGATACGCGCGTCTGGGACATCACTGTTCGCCGCACTCTTGACGACGGCACGACACAGACACGGACCCTACACCCACGGCACGTCATCCAGGCGACAGGCCACTCGGGCAAGAAGAACCTGCCTGCTGTTCGTGGCGCTTCGTCATTTGAGGGCCATCTCCTGTGCCACTCGTCCGAGTTTCCAGGCGCCCGCGCCTCCATTGCTCCCGGAACGCGCGCTATTGTCGTCGGCTCTTGCAACTCGGGCCACGACATTGCACAGGACTTTGTCGAGCACGGCTACGACGTCACCATGGTGCAGCGGTCGACGACGTGCGTCATCTCGTCCGAGGGCATCACCGAGATTGCTCTCGGCGGTCTGTATTCCGAAACTTCGCCGCCGGTCGAAGAGGCCGACTTGCTGCTGCACAGTTTGCCGGCGTCCGTGCTCAAAGCGGACCAGGTCTTGGTCACAGCCAAGCAGAACGCCATGGATCGAGATATCATTGACGGACTTGAGCGTGCCGGGTTCAAGGTCGACCGAGGGCCTGATGACTCAGGTCTTCTGATGAAATACTTTCAGCGTGGCGGTGGCTACTACATTGACGTCGGCGCCTCGCGGCTCATCGCAGAGGGCCGTATCAAGATCAAACAGGGCCAAGAGATCACCGAGGTGCTGCCGTGGGGTCTGCGGGTTTGCTGATGGGTCGGAACTTGAGGCCGATGAGATAGTCTTTTGCCACGGGCTACCAGAACATGCGCACTGAGACGAGGGCTATTTTTGGCGACCAAGTTGCGGACCAGGTCGGGGACATCTGGGGGTATAACGAAGAAGGGGAGCAGCGCATCATCTGGACCAAGAGTGGACATCCTGGGTTTTGGTTCCACGGCGGCAACCTGGCTCTCTGTCGGTTCTTCTCCAAGCTGCTAGCTCTACAGATCAAGGGGCTTGAGGTGGGCATCTACCAATATGGAGACAAATGATGGGATGATGCGGAGGTTTTCCATTTCTCGAATTCATTAATCCGACCCGTCACAATCCTCTCATGAACCCTCCCTTACAAATAGCAGGCTTCACGCCTGTTATCTTGGCAGTCTCCTTCACCTCTTCCCCGTCGTGTATCGCGCATCGATCCTTTTCCATCTCCGCCTTACGCTTCGCACGCTCGGTGCTCCACCGCAAGAAATAACAGCAGCATGGAAACAGCGCCGTGCTGACGGCTGCCCACGCAAAGAGAATACCAAAGTTAATGCCTATCTTGGAATGCAAATCAAACAAAATGTGGCGACTCGCCTCGACAACCTGCTACAACGGCTACGCGCGACCCCAGTGATGGAACGAGGCGCGAGATCCATCGAGTAGGATAATGTGTTGACGTTGGTAATGACCCAGAAGATGAGCCAAAGCGCCGCCCGCGGCTGGCCGATCATCATGGCCACGTTCTCGCATGCAATGCCGAGAGCGCACATGCCAGATAAATTGAGCATCCCGTCGACGGCGAAGCTTCAATGCCCGTAGCTTATTACGCCGCCCAACGAGGGGAGAAGTCATGACTTGCTGGACCTGGCGTGAACGGGAATCTAGAAGGCAAGGGAGATGAGCGAGTATATCATGGATATGAATATGTAGGAGACCGCCATGGCGATCCATCCCCATGCAATGAGCTGCCAAGAGTGAAATGGAGGGTGGCCTTGCAGTTGAACAAAATTTCTGCCCTAGTCGGTAAACGTGTTTCTCCTCATCATGATCCATTTGAAGAACCTTAGGTATGAGTAGGCAAGAATAAGTTAAAGGAGAAAAATTCATTGATAACAAGGTACGGTGAGTAGAGAGCACAGAGACCGAAAGAGGTAGGCTATCGACTGAGAGACCTTACTATTCACAAATCTACGTTCTTCAATAGAGAGATTTCTCTTGACTACGACTTCCAGTATGTCAAAGGAATTTAATACAACAGGCCGGGAGCGAAATCGGCTTGGAAACTGCAATGCTAAATGCTAAATAACATAGCCACTACTCTCTTACTGCGTGACCCCCTCAGTCTCACTAATACGGACCACCATCTTCTTTGCCCTCACTGAGCCGTCCTTAAGACCCTTCAGAGCGCCCTCTAGTCCCGCAAGTCCACCCTTCACAACCTCGTACGGGTGAGGCGTAAACCAACCTTCGCTCAGGCCACTCGCAAAGGCGGCTGACCAGACGGTGCCGAACAAAGGTTGCTTGTGTACGTGGTCGACCGTCGTACGCGTGAACTGGACGCTCGAGTCGGCCGTAGTCTCATCAACAGGTAGGACATGCGTGATTCTGGGCTTCCGACCGCTCGCATCGGGCGGGCCCGCGAGGGCCTTGCTCAGGGTGACGTACGTCCCGTTCTCCGAGACGCAGTCGTAGGCGTCAAACACGCGTCCATCCTCGACTCCTGCCGCCTTGGCAGCGTCCTTCAACGCGGCGACGAGCTCATCGGGTGTTTTGTACGCTGTGTAGTCGACGATACGGTCTCCCTTGGCGGAGTTCAGGAACGGCACGACAAACTCGCTATTCTTGCTGCCAACGGCGATGATGGGGTGAATGTTGGCCTTTTGCGCCAGCTTAATGGCGAAGGCGCCAATGGCTGTCGAAGCACCATAGATGATGACAGGCCTCTTCTTCTTGTCTTCGCCAGACCGCCTGGCCTCGGCGTCCCACGGGGAGGGGAATTCAAGCTGGTCGAAAAGGGCGACAGCCGAAGTGTAGGCCGCCAAAGGCAGAGTAGCGGCCTCCTCGTACGAAACGGAAGCAGGCAGGGCGAAGACAGTGTTGGCGGGAGCGATAGCGTACTCAGCAAAGGCACCGTGCGGTGCCATCATGACATGGAAGGCGGCGACGCGGTCGCCCTTTGTGAAGCCAATGACATTGTCGCCGAGCTCCTCGACCGTGCCAGCGACATCGTCGCCCGTGTTGGTGTCGGCGCACGTCTCAAGCCAGACGGGGAGTTTCCAGTCCTTGGGGTTGGTACCTGGAAAAGGCAGCTTGTGTCAGTGGAAATGAACATGACGTCATTGAAGCGACGAGAGGGGGTGGTCGAACCTGCGACGATGACCTTGATCAGCACCTCTCCAGGTCCGGGCTTCGGACGCTCAACATCCTTGATCTGGACTGTGATTTCCCTGGTGACGATGGCCTCCTTCATGATGGTACGGCGTCTAAGGCGAGACGCAGTGCTTTTGCTTAATTATAGGGTTCTCAGATGCGATGTAGTTCCACGACAAAGATCATGTAGTGTGCGGTGGGTTGGGTTGCGATGTGATATAGTCGTGCTGTGAGAACTTGTTTGTAACTACTATCCTCAGAGACGCTCATCGGCCCTTATTTATCTGCGGACGACAACCTCATCGTTCGTCAGGGACGGCAGTGAAACCTGCCCGATCTGCACTATACCTTACTGACCAACGTAATCCGGCTCCACTAACAAGACAAGACATCACAGCTTGATCACACAATGGGGATCCTGTTGCGGTACTAGCACTGCATTACCAATGGGTCGCGTCGAAAGAAGGTTGATGCGGAGCTGTCGGGTTGGAGATTTACCCCGAGCGGAGCAGAGCTGACAAATGTTCGACACTCTTCTATCGCCTCAAGTTACCTACCTGAGGTACCTGCTGGGAAATCGTCACCCGAAAGCGGCAACGTATTGCCTGGGGCGCTTCCCAGAACTGCGCGATCAGAACCAAGTCTCGCTACTAGTCTTGCGACAGAAGCCTGAACTTGATACCTCAAGCTGCTCTGTGATATTTCTTCTAGCATGATCATGTTGCCACATGCAACAGTGTGCAGGTTTCGGTGGTAGACTACGTCCAAGGAAAAATAAATGGATCGGTTCAATTCATCGTTCCGATGACTGATTTCTCTGTACTAGCCAGGTAGGAGACGTTTTGGGGCCGGTTGCTACAACAAGTTATCCCGGTTGCTCGCTACCTGCTTTGTTATATACACAACTACCTCGGATACTTACATTCACCACAGGGTGATGTACCATCCGGAGACGGGACATGATGAGCGGATAATAACCAGGAGGGTCTTGAGCACGGGGTCCCGCCTGCCTTCATGAGGCAGCATGTGAGCTATAGGATATGTACTGAGTCGTGGGTACGGTGCAGTCGACTACTGCAAGTGGGCGTGTTGTTCTTCACCAACTCCGTTTGACGCCGAATATGTCTGCAGAGGCTAGCCGACTGGGGGTCATGCCCTGAATGTCCCTGTGTGGTCCGTAGTTTGATGTGGCCAGAACCCGAGGGTTCTGACCCGACCTAGAGCCACCCAAAGGCAACCGTGTCGACGGTGTTTCCACAACGAACCCGACGCAGGTCATATTGAACCCTCCATGCCACCGTTTCAGCATCCAAGGGGAGTTTGAGTGCTTGAAGAGACGTTGAACTGTACCTGTCAATACCTCGGCCGCTGAGACAAGTACTATGAGAACAGGGCAGGAGCAGGCTCTACCAGGTAGCCTTGTTCACCATCTAGGCGGTGTTAAACAATGGCCGCACAGGATAGAAGCAAAACAACTGCGAGTCGAGAAAATTTGGCGGAGAGAGTCAGTTACATGGCCGTCTGCTGAAAGCCTCCGTTATAGTATGTGTATGATTGCCAGCCGATAGGCACTGGCTCGACATGCCAGAGTTTCTCGCCAATCCAGGGCGCCCACGTTACGCTTGAAGACCACAAGGCCACGCGCGCACACACTGCCGAAAGATAAAGGTACTGATTCCTCTGCTCTAATCTTCCACTGCCCCCGCTTATGTACACAGTGATGTCAGATTCCAGGTTTCCCGTTCACGCTCAAGGATCCTCGTCACCCTCCTGCCTCGCCTGTACAGTGTTAGCAGTGGTTTCCCAACCCCGACGGAGTAACAAAGGGACAATCATACCCTCAGGGCGCTGGCGCCACCAAGCTCCCTCTGCAGACCGTTCTCGAATTCCCTGGGGAACGTGGGCCTGTCGGGGTAGGTGACGTAGATGGCACCGACGACGACGAGGAAGGTCGCGACAAAGGTGCCGATCATGAGCGCGCCGGGGCCGGCGGTGGTCCAGGTGTACTCGTAGGGGGAGAAGATGCCGAGGAGATCGTGGTCCTCGTGGACGGGCTCGCCAAAGTTGCGCCTCTCCTGCTTGTCCCACCAGTTGCCGTAGGGATCGCGGTGCTGGCGCTTGATGAAGGGAGGGTTGACGTAGCCGCCGTTCTGTCAAGCCCAAAAATCATTAGCCTCGAGTCTCCCGCCTCTGTATCTTGCGTGCTCGCTGTCTGCTTGAGCAACAGCCGGGGGGCGCTGCTCTGCTTGCGCGCGTCCACCAGAAACTAACCATGCCGGGGTCCTCCGCCTCGGTGAGAGCAGGGTAGTCGGGGTACTTGGCCTCGAGGGTCTTTTTGTCGTTGATGCCGTCGGGGAAGAAGGTTCGCTGCTGGATGGTGGGAAGGCGGCGGGCGGGAGCTGCCAGAGCAGCACCCGTGCTGCGGATGGTCGAGACCCGCGCAATTCGTCGAGACAGCATCTGGAATGGGCGAAACGGCCTTGGTCAGTCGAGTCGGCAGGAGAGCAAGGGTTTTGGGGGGCTCACCTTGGCCAATTGGTGGTCTCGATGTGACCCAATTGATGTACTGATTCTAATGTCGTTGCTGTCGTGAGGCTCAAATGCAGACGATGATGGATGCCAATGGCCCACACGACGGGTTCCAGATGCCTCAGGCAAGAAAATGCAAGGTAGACAGACACTGACTTTTGGTTCGAGGCCCCCACAAGGCCGGGAGGCACCACCACCTGGAGACCTCGCGTAGGTAAGCCGTCCTCCCTGCTTCTGGTGTCTATACCGGGTTAGACCAGTCGCGACTCGCGTGTACTGGCACTGCCAGTGGCCACAGCTGTCATTGAGGTGGCAGACCGGCTACCTGGTGGCGGCACCTATGGTGGTACCTAGGTACCTACCTACCTAAGGAGCACGGTAGGTAAGGGAACCTGGGCAAGCACAGCTCAAGGCAGCACAGGGGTGGCACCCCCCCAAAGAGAACCGTCTCGTCACTCAAAATCTCCAGCTTCAGACTTTTTGCTGGTGACGCCTGAATT